ATCTCCAGGTGATTCTAATGTGCAACCAGGGCTGAGAACCACCATCTAGAGGCCTTACTAGTTTAACCTGTTAAATCAACCCAAGTGAGTTCTCCCTCCCATGTAACTTTAACTTCCGTATGTTACTGTGAAAGATGTTATCAAAAGCTTTGCTGACATCAAGGTATGTTTTTCTACAGCTTGGTCATTGCACTTTTCAAATCGTAAAATTATATTGGCCTAGCATGACATGCTTTTAAGAAAATGTAATCATTTTAGAGATCACCTTTCAAATATGTTTACAATCTGCTAAGGAATTTTGCCTGGGTCGATTTTAAGCTCACAAAATTGGATCCATTTAGTTTCTATAATTTCTGTCTACTGATAGTTAACATGTACTGCTTGCTAACTTTGTCTCAGCCACAGTGCTCAGTGCTCTTCATAAATATTCAAACAATCCTGTGAAACAGTTACTATTATTTCTACTTTATAGACGTGCTATCGGGGTTGGACTCTAGTTGACTTCAGGACCCGTGATTTTAACCACTAGTTGTTGCTTCTATTTATAATTGCCAAGTTCCATCTTGTTCTTCAAGTGTTTTAGGATAACTTAAAAGGACGTTAAAGATATGAGAAAGCATGAACTAATTGGAATAAAGACAGACCAGAGAGGGTCAAAATGAGTCATGGGTCAGAACAAAATGCTTCCACATTTGCTAACTGAAGGGTCACCAGTTTGGCTTTGAGTGTTTTGGAAATGTCAAGTCAAAATAGGATCACATGTTCAGCTGCACAGCTAACATTGGATTGAACACAAACGTTGCTCAGGAGAAGAACCTGGGAAGCCCTGAGGCTTCTTAAAGACGACACTGAGGATTAAAGGAACTTCTGCAAGAACATTCTCACAATCCCCACAGACCAGACTGTCAACAGGGCTCAATGAGCCAGACGTTACAGCATCCACTTCCTCTCTTATTCAATAAAGCTGCAAATTTCAGCTGGCTTTATAATTCTTCAAAGGTTTCTGCATTCCCATTTCCAGTACCCCTTCCACCACTGGCAACTCATTCCAAAAGAATATGAACAGCAACTGAGCAAGTCTTTGCCCATGTATTCTCAGAACCCCGGAATGGAATCTGAGCAGTCAGGATTTCCTTTTGGAGAGTTTCAAGTATATATTCCACTATGGAATATTACTCGGTGGAATATTACTCAGCCCTAAAAAAGAATGAAATAATGCCATTTGCAGCAACACAGGTGGACCCTAGAGATGACCATACTCAGTGAAGTAAGTCAGACAGAGAAAGACAAATATCGTATGATATCACTTATATGTAGAATATAAAAAAATGATACAAAGGAACTTATTTACAAAACAAATAGACTCACAGACATAGAAAACAAACTTATGGTTACTAAAGGGAAAAGCAGAGGTGGGGGAAGGGATAAATTAGGAGTTTGAAATTAACAGATACATACTACGGTATATAAAACAGAGAACCAAGGAGGACCTTGTATAGCACAGGGAACTATATTCAGTATCTTAGAATAACCTATAATGGAAAAGAATCTAAAAAAGAAATATATATATATATATATATATATACATACACACACACATACACACATACATATATACATACATGTGTGTACAACTGAATCACTTTGCTGTACACCTGAAACTGACACTGTAAATCAACTATATTTCAAAAACAAAAACAAAACAAAAAGACCCAAGAAAGTACAGGAAGAACCAAGGTGGGCAGAACTTTGACATCACTGAATAGAATGACACCCCACCTCCACCAGGTAAACTTGCCTCAACTTCACTAAAGTGCTACTTCCCCAGCTGCACAGATTCCCCAAGATGGTACCTCGGGATGTCACCCTGCAGGGGGCCAAGACCCATAGCCACGGTTTAACAGTAGTCAGAGTCAGCTTTTCCTACAGTGGAGGAAATGAGAAACACGGTTAGACGTTTGGAAAGAACTGCCTAGAAGAGCAGGAAGACACCCTAGACACCGATCCAGATACAGAACAGGACAACGACAATGGCAGGAAGACGCAGCCAGAAAAGTGAGGAAAAGCAGATGAATCTGACCGGGAGAAGGAACGAGACAAGGAATGAGAACAGCCTCCTTCATCCCCGTCAGACTGTCCAGGCTGACTCCAGTGGTTCTGCGGGGTGGACACTGCGGTTAAGAAAGAGCAGTGATTCGCAGGTGCTATTTTTGACACCACACTGTTCAGCTCCTCTCTGCTCTGCTCAGTCCAGGGCTTTGCAGGAAAGAGGCTGGTGTAGAGACACTGTGTTCACAGCGGGCACACAGGCTGGGGAGCAGGCAGCCACATGATGAACTGAGACCCATGACTGAGAACACAGGGCTCCGGGCGGGGAGCCCAAAAAAGACTTCTGAGAACGTGCTATGGAAAGGGCTTTTCCAGAAAAGGGTGTTTGAAGTGCTGCTATTGGTTAGGTCATCTCTTAGCCAGAAACCGTGTGAAGGTGTTACTCAAACAATCTTGGAAACGCTTTTATAATTTGTTCACAAAGCTTTACAAAGAGCGGAAGAGGCAACCTCTAACACATGTTGATGAGTTTACGTTAGTCTGCCCTTAGAGAAGATGGAAATTTTCTAACCATACCTCAGCAAAAACCTTTGCACAATTGGTGAATGAAAGTGAATTAATAAGCATCATGACTTAATGGGACCAGCAGTGCCCTTTCTCTCTCGAGAGGTTGTAAGCCAGCCTTTATCCAGCCACGACAGTGCATTCAAACCAACCATCAAACTAGGCTAAACTGGGAAACTGACATCTGAATGACTGTACTGCAGTCTTAAAACAATATTTTAAATGAACTGTTCATGGTTCTACTTAGAAACACTAGAAGTCATCTTTTTAATCATCAATACTTTTTAACTATTTTGTTTCACCTCATTTAAACTTTATTTTATAATAAAATTGAGTCATGTTTGAAATTTTTAAGTAAATATATACATGGGGTATAAATTCAAATGCTTTGCTAGTAAGGGCTTACAACCAAGACAGTTGGCTGATTATTCACTTTAGAGATATGAAGGCAGTTATCGATGAATCCTAGATAAGAACACTCTTTTTCATCTTTGTTGTCAGTTTCGAATTCAGACCCCATTGCAGCAGCATTCCTCTGCCCGGCGTCCACATGCAGGGGGACAGGGGAGCTCCTCCTGGTTTTTACTTACGATGGATAAATTAAGGCCCCTGGGGGCCCCACGTCTCAGGAGGAACCTGGGTTGGTCTCCTGACTATACAGATCACCCTTCTGGAAAGTGAGGCAGAACTTTCCTTGCCTTGAAACTTGATGCCATCAGAAACAGATTCCCAAAACCCACTGAAATCAAAGCTGGGCGGTGTTGACTGTGAGGCTGTCAGGAGACTGGGGATCTACCGATCCCGCAGCTGAGCCATTAGAGGGTTTTTGAACCCCTCTTCTCTTCGGCTTTTTCCTCGATAAAATGAGGTGGAAGGTGGTTTTCTAGTATGAAGTAGAAATAGAAGGTTCCCTCTGGCTTTCCCAATCCAAGATTATTTTGAGCTATTCCAAACCCTTAAAGCAGTTTCAGTTTAAGATAATGTGGCTTGTACATTATTTTCCCACATAGGAAGCTTCCTGATCTTAATTTGTAGATTGTCTGGTAACACTTGACAGAAGGAAGCAGATGCAGGGAGGGGAGGTCCTGGACGCCAGTGTTGCACCATCAGTGGCAAAGTCCAGGTCAGTCTTCGAGTCCGAACTCTATGGATCACTAATCATACATACTTAGCTGGAGGGCCTCTGTAAAGTGACTCACTCATGCATGCTTAGGCAGGTGCCAAAGTTAATTGTGGTGGCTGTTCTATGCCAGCTTGGGTAAACCAGGACTACCTTTCCCCAGGTCCCCTTCCTTGGTGGTCTTAAATTAGAATCGGCTCAAAGACATCCTTGTGCAATTTTTGGAAGGCAAAGTGAAGCAAGGGCCATCTTTCTCTGAAGGTCAGCAGTCAAATGTGGTGACAGACACGAGGCACCTAGCAGGTCCCAACTCATCCTCATTCTCCTCTGCTCCACCTCCAGCTCTTCTTCTCAAGTTCTGACCTTGACTGTTGACTTAGGGTGGCTCCAGCCCACCAGCAGACACCTGGCTGTAGACGCAGAGGTGGTCACCACAGAACACCGAGGCCCACGTGCCACCTGCCCAGGCCCACCTCAGCACCCGCATGTGTCCTGCTTCTCGGAGGGACCGACGGGGGTTTCTCTTGACCCGCACACCTCCCCCTGCACCATCCCCTGTCCTCTCCTCACACAGCAGTGCCTGCTTTCATCCCTGGAACAAACCCTGTACCCACAGCACTCAGAGAGACCCTTCTCCCCGGATTCACCCGCCCACCAAGCACAAACCCCCAACTGGACACTGTTCTGTCTCCTTGCAGCTCCACCGAGGATCCCACACTGAGTGCTCTGCACAGGCGTTTTTATACGTGTCCTATGTTACAGTGAGCTTCCTGGGGGCTCACAGTGTCTTCAGTCCCAGAGGGCAGAAAGACAGTCTTCAAGTGCACATGTGTGTAGAGTTGTGCGTCACAGGAAAACATAACACAAAACCTTGGTTTAAAATCTTGCCTCTATGAATTCTCACAGTGAGGAGAACTATGACTTTATCTGTCCCCGGCTAAGTCACAGGCTGACTGTCCAACCTGTCATCACAGGCCTGAGTCAACCATTCTCTCCCCACCATGAGATCTCAGGACAGCACTCGCTGGCACGTGACACATGCAGCTGGTCTCATCAGCCCTACCACGCACACCGTGCAGAGAGGCGGCAACGTCACAAGCATGTGGGTAGCAACACTAGCAACACTAGCAACACGAGATGCCGGTCCCTCAGAGGCCTCGCTGCCAGCTAGTCAGTCACACACACTGACCCACAGGTGATCGGGGGGCAGTCCTTCGCTCCTGGGCTAAAAATCAAAAACCCAAAGTTAAAGAAACACCGAACACTGTAAAGTGTGGACATGATTTATTGCTTGCTTGTTTCTAATTTAATGCAGAGTCGATGTTTTTGAGTAACGGTAACAAGATGTCCAAAACTCAACGTTTTTAAACATTCAAACAGTAAAATACGTGGAAGGAAGCCCTCAAATGTGAGCTCCTCTAAGTTACAGCAGGTGGAACAACTCAGGGCAAAGGTTACTGGCTGTCACCTAGTTCACAAAAGGAACTGCTCTCCTCTGGTTTGGGGAACAGGCAAGGGTCCGCAGTGTGAACCAACTGCACAGGCACCAGGGGCAGCACGTTGGCCTCCCTTGGAAATGTCTGGGGAGTCTTTCTAAAAAGTCCAAGTGTGAAAATGCTTCCATTCACCTCAGGCTTCAAAGAGATGCCCTCCGCTGAGAGTCAAGAGACCTCTCATGGAGGAGACGTGGCTGAGATGATGCGGTGACGATCAGAAGTGGTTCTGCTGTCAGTGAAGTGAACCTGTCCACACAGCCCCCCTCACGCCACTGCCCGTTCAAGGAGCATAGGGATGAGCCTTGCACAGTGACCAGATGACACCAGGGCCACTGTGAGGGGCCTTTTGCCAGCTGAAGGCACAGGGTCCTCGTCATCCTGAGGGAAGGGGTCATAGGGGTGTGAGTTACATTCAAAATGCACATCCTACCTCGAAAAACTGCTTTCAGCTGCCGTACATTTGACTGCAATTTCAGGCTGAAAGTCTGAAGACTTTGAAATGCCCTGATGTGCTCGGCAACTTCAGCAGGAAATCAGAGACCCAAGGGGTGCAGACGCAGGGGGACACAGGGCTGCACTACATCCTACAGCAGCAGAACACATGACTCTGCAAGGTGGGCGTCAGACACCACAGAGACTGCAGCTGTGGGTGGCATGCTCAGCCTCCCCTGGCAGGGTCTGAAAACAGATGATTTTCCATGAAACATTTATCTACAATGACTTTGATCAGTACTTGCAGGCCAAGGAAAAAAATGTATCAAAACTATTCTTAAAAGACAAACTTCATTAAGTACCAAGCACAGTGATCAAATTTCAGATGTCAAATTCGATTTTTCCTAACAGTCATCTGAGGCTTCCACAAGAATGGTCAAGGGCCAACTGCGCTCCCACCAGTGATGCTGGTGTAAGTCACACAAACCCCCTTTGGAAGAATGACGGACCCACATCTTTGCCAGAAGAATCATCTCCAGCCTCTCTGGCTTTTGAAATTCCACCGTATTATGAATGCTCTTTATAAACACAGTGATCCCGAGAAAGGAAACAACAAAGGAACATAAAGGTGCATTTATTGGTGTCCATGCCATCTAAATCTACCGAGTACAGGAATCAGGACTGGAGAAGGGACGAATCAGAACCTAAACAACAACAAGAATACCGGGGCGTTCGCCCAGGTGCCGCAAGTCTCAGCCCAGAAGACTCTGGATGCCGGCAAGCCAGCGTCCTCCCTGAGAAGCATGCGCCACGCTCCGCTCTCTCCCTCCAGCGTCTTTCGTCCGTCTCTCTCAGTTAAGGCCTGGACAGTGTTCGGGTGGCGGCCACGTCTCCCACGGAGCTGGGCGATGACGGTCAGTCGCCCACGGGCTCGGGCGGTGCGTGCTCAGGCTCCGGGCTGCTCAGCTCCGCCATCTGCCCCTGGAGCTGCGCCACCGTCTGCAGCAGGGCCGACCGCTCCAGCTCTAAGGCCAGGGTGGCCTGCTTCAGCTTGCTCTCACTGGTCAGGAGCCTCTCAATGGTGGCTTCGAGGCTTTGGATCCTCCCATTCGCCACCTGGAGAAGAACAGAAGAAATGAGAATGTTAACTGCCCAGGGAGACACGGGAGAGCTGGACCCCGCACGCCGTGCCGTCCAGCCCGGGGGCTTGGAGCCATATTTCAGCAGCCGCATCTCTCTGAGTTCACCATCACTTCGGCCCCAGGGGAAGACCACCTCTCCCAGGTCCCCTCTGGGGGAGGCTGGGCTACCCTGAGACCTTCCAGCAGTGGTTGCTGTGGAGGCTGCATGTGGAGACAGCAGCTTCACAAAGCAGAGGGAGCCCAACCCCCAAGTCACCCACCATGGGGGGGACAGCTCTGATATGGCCAAATAATGCCTCGTGGAGAAGAGGTGGCGCTGCGGGGACAAAAAGACTTCTGTGGTGGGAAGCCACAGAGATGCAGAGTCATTTATCACTGCAGCACGGTCTGGCCCATTCTGACAAATACTTGACGTGTACAAACTGACATCAAAATGGTTTCTACGTGAAGGCCCAAGTAGTAACAGCTCTCTAGTCTTTACCTGCCCTGCAGTGACAAGACATCACCCGTCAAGGACACAGGCATTTCCCCCAGGACGTGTGTGTGGAGCGCTCAGCTGGCCTGGCTCTGCTGAGAAGTCCCTGCTCACAGCCTCACTGACCAGACACGAGCAGTGTCCTCGTGCCCACCCATCTGCATCCTATGCACACAATCAGGGTGAGGCAGAACCTCCAGATGCTTCTCCCTAGTAACCAACCCTCCTTTCTCTAATCCCCCGGGGCCGGCTCCCCAGGCACAAGTGGGCTGGCTCTGGCGACACAGACAACCACCAGCCCCGGCCTCCACGGGCTGCTGTCCCCGGGCGCCCCCGCCTGTCCCGGCCTCCGCGCACTGCTGTCCCCGGGCCCCCTGGCCTGTCCCAGCTCACAGCTGTGTTCCTGGGCGCACAGGTCACGGGGTCAGTGAGGCACCGCGCGGCGCCTTCAACCCTCCAGCCCTACACATCCCTGTTGATTTCAGGTGGGAAATGGTACATATTTTGTCTTGTTTTCAAAACAAGGGAAACAGTTTTTTGAACAAGGTAACGCTTGTGCCAGACAGACAATTCATGACTCAAAGCGTAGCTCCGGCTGTGACATAAACACTCAAAATAGAAAGAAAAAGGGGCTGAGAGCCTGTCTCAATCCTACCCGTGGGCGGGTCCCACCTCACCCCCACAAAGGGCTGCCCCACTGAAGTCCACAGCACTCCCCGCAGGACCTCCTGGCTTAGCAGGGAGCTGATGTGCACGGTCATTTACTGTTCTGCTTCAATGCCTGGTCTCTCCTCACGAGAATGCAGCTCTCATGGGAGCAAGCATGCCTCAACATGCACAGGGGTCTGGGCTCCCCCAGCACCTTGCTCGTGCACTCAATGCCTGGTAGCTGCCTGCCATGGAAAATGCATGTCCCTTACCGTCCAGCACCGCTAGGCATGTCTATGCAATCGTCTCATGCATGCTGCTGGACAAAGGAGGCTGGACAGTGTGGTCTCCAGCTGCCAGACACCATCCTTAGGTGTTTAACAAGAAAATAAATGGGACTTTGGTAGGTCCAACAACTGTATGAATGGAACAAAGCCAGGAAACTGGTCCATTTTGATGCTCTGGGGGAAAAAACCAAAGATTTAGGTTTGAAAATTAACAATTGCACTCAACACCTATCCTGGGACCCTGAAAACTGTTTTAAAAAAAAAAGTGAAAAGAGGTGTGAGTCTGACAGAACTTACGCAGTCTGGCTGAAAGACAGTAAGTCCACGTGACTCTAAGGGTAATGGGAAAACTACATTCAGGCGCCCACAAACTGACACACCCCAAGAGCCCTTGGTCAACACTCCAAAGAGAACATCTGTTATCGCCAAGGACAGCCTGACGCCTGCCTTGAGGGCTGCAGATATCTGAGCAGCTTTTCACAACTCCCTGTCTTCACAAAAGGGGCGCAGTATCACAAAAGCAGCACGAAATTCCTTCCCTTCCTCATCACCAGAAGACCCACACGGGTATTAGCCCAATAAAACAAACCTTTTATTTGAGTGCTATCTTAATGAGACAAATGCTTCCAATGCAGATCTGAGCTTTGCCAGGAATGTTTTCAGCATGCTACAGTTCAGGGGCCAACTGTCTGGAAGGCATTTTAAATGACCACCTGTACTGCAGACCCTTACAGGCAGACCAGCTCTTCATCCCCTGGCCTCCCTTTCAGGTTACAGCCATTCCATCCTGGAGAGACTGCATCCAGGCAGCCACAAAGACATATTCTCAGCTAGGACATCTCAGTCTGAGAGGGGAAAGCAACTAACTTTCAGAACGTGACTGGTAATCAGGACCGAGTAGGGAAAGCCTTTCCTTTGTTCCTCTACAGTAAATGTCGACTAGGTTCCACTCGGGTAAACCCCTGCCGGGAGGAGTACACTTTAAACAAGGGCTGATTTAAACTCCCAAATGCTGGCCTCTCTCCCATCACTGCCAAGCCTGTGTCTGCAAAGCAGCAACTTTCCAC